ATAGTTGTTGTAGTTTATGTTGACGTCACTAGAGTTGATGTTGACGTCATGAGAGTTAGTGTTGACGTCATGAGAATCAATGTTATAGATGTTATTTTTTCTCTATTGAGAAAAAAACTTAAAAAATTATACAAACAAACTCCAGGATATCTCAACACAACCGCAATGCCAGTCGCCAACAACGACAACTCCCAACATTCCAACAGCAACAACAACAGCAACAACATCAGCAACAACAGCAATAAACTGTGACGATAATGACGAAGTAACATTTGGCCTAACAGGCATAAATGTCTTAGTAACAAACTTCGTAACGGTTCAATCAGTCGGACGGAATAACCTTGGAAAGATGTCCGAACCATTTGTACTGCCCGCTAAATATGACGGTGGTTTGTAATTATTATTATTATTATTGTTGTTGTTGTTGTTGTTGTTGCAGTAATAGTAGCTGTAGTAGTAGTAGTAGTAGTAGTAGTAGTAGTAGTTGTTGTTGTTGTTGTGGTTGATGTGGTTGTTATGGTTGATGCCGTTGTGTTGAAATGTAGATAGAATTGTTTCATTTTGGCGAATTATCGTTGGAGCTGTATGTTTTTTGGAATTGTATGCTTTTTATTTTATAAAATTGACAATAATAGCAAACAAATTAATAATAATAATAATAATAATCATAATCACAATAATCATAATAATAATAATAATGGGAACATTCTTTTAATTAGCGAAAAAATAAAATCCAAATGAAATGAATCGAAAAATAGTGAATCATATATCAGGGTGTAATTAAATAAGACGTAAAATATAATGTACATAATAATAATAATAATAATAATAATAATAATAATAATAATAATAATAATAATGATGATGATGATGATGATGATGATGATGATGATGATGATGATGATGATGATGATGATGATAATGATAATAATCATAATCATAATCATGATCATAATAAATAATAATAATAATAATAATAATGATGATAATAATAATAATAATCATAATCATAATCATGATCATAATAATAATAAATAATAATAATAATAATAATAAATACACCGAAAGGTAATTCAGACGCATC